TCAGCGATTGTACGAAAGCGACTGAAGCAGAGAAGGTCGTACTACGTGGGAAGCTTCGTGAGGCGTCCAAAGCAAGAAAATCTCGCACGAAGAGATTAAAAAGGCTGATGCCGTCCACTTCCCGTACTGTGACGATTAATGGCGTTTTGGATTTGCCCTGTTGCCCAGATACTGGCTCAGATCATACCGTGATTAGCCGTTCGCAGTGGAAATCATTGCTTAAGTTGACCCAACGGCGCAGGAAATTCCTTTGGACACACCGGTACGCAGCCTAGCGTATGGTTCTCACCCGGTCGCGGCTACGAAAAAGGCACTGCTACATGTTTTGATCCACACGGCTGCTGGACCGGTACAACTAGCGGAAACTGTGCCATGCCTCATCATGGATGTGGATGATGATGAATTTATCATTGGACGAGATCTGTTAACGTCTTTAGGTATTGATGTGGATCGTCAATTGGAACAACTTGCCTCTCACGTGGATGATGAAACTAGTGGAGACCCTTTCAAGTTGGAAGCTGACGAACTCCCTGCAAATCCGACTCATGTGGCCAGTGACGAAGAAGTTCGTGCTGCAATTGAGGTTCTAATAGAAAGGGCCTTGAAGAATGTATTTCCACCGGACAAAGTGGATAAGTTGCGAGTGATTGTACACATGTACGATGTGTGGCGTTTGGAACTCCGTGACGATCCACCTGCGCGTGTCCCGCCGCTCGAAGTGCGTTTGAAGGAGGGGGCTAAGCCTTGCAAATGTAAGCCCCGCAAATATCCTCCGCATGTTCGCCAATTCTTATGGGAGTTTAACACTATGCTTGTTGAACTAGGATGGATCTACGAGAACCCTACAAGCCCGTGGGCAAGCCCCGTATTACCCGTCAAAAAGTCTCAAGAGCTAATGGACATGCGTCAGACTACGGATTACCGCGAATTTAATTCAAGAACGAACATTATGGCTGCCGTGATGCCGATACTTTCTTTGGTAATGGAAAATGCACGTGGAAACAAACACTTTGGACTTTTCGATTTCATTAAGGGTTTCTGGCAGCTACCTCTTGCTGAGTTCTGCCAGGAATGGCTTTCGTATATGACTGATGAGAAGATCTACACTCCTCGACGTGTCCCCCAAGGCTGTGGTGATGCTGCGATCTACTTCCAGAAGACAATGGAGAAGTGCTTTGCTACACTGCTCTACAAACATCTTCTTGTATGGATTGACGATCTGTTACTTTATGCAGAAGACATCGACACGTATTTATTGGAGAAACGGAAGGAGTTGTTTTCACTATTGGATGAGTTTGGCCTGAAGCTCAGTGTGAAGAAGTCCAGTCTATACCAACAGGACGTGAAGTGGTGCGGCAAGTTTATTGATGCCAACGGTGTACGTCACGACCCTGCCCGGATTGAAACACTTTGTACAATGCCATATCCAAGTACGGCTGGGGAGCTGCAGCAATTTCTTTGCGCCACAAACTGGATGCGCGAGAGTCTCATTGACTATGCCCGTCAAGTTTCTCCTCTTCAACACAAACTGGACGAAGCTTTGGCGAAAACCCGCCGTACGAAGCGAGCGGCAGCTGGAATTTTGATCGAGTTAAGCGCTGATGAGAAGGCTACATTTGACAGAGTGAAGGCAATGCTGGCTTCATCTGCTACGCTCGCTTTCCCTGATGATTCAGCAACTACGTGCCTGCTAACAGACGCATCGGATATTGGCTGGGCGCTAATCGTGACTCAAATTAAGGGCTACAACCCTAACGTCCCTGTCCAGGACCAGCAGCACCAGCTTGTTGAATGTTTGAGCGGGACGTTCACTGAGAGCCAACTCAATTGGACAGTGATCGAGAAAGAAGCGTTTCCAATCGCTTTCGCCTGTGATAAACTAGATTACTTGCTGCTGAGACTCCAGGGCTTTCGATTGTTTTGCGACCATCGTAATTTGATCCATGTCTTCGCTCCGGACGAACATGTCAAGAAGCATGTGAAAGGAAAACTGTTACGGTGGGCTCTAAAACTGATGAACTACAACTACGTGATTGAACATATCGCTGGACCCCAGAACGTTTGGGCCGACATGATCAGCAGGTTGGCCGGAAATCACGCAACTGGCACCGCCACGATCAAGAGGATTCGCTCGCCTTCAACTGCACATCAGCAAGAGTCAACTACGGAGGCGACGGAGCTGAGCATTGCGGCGTTTCGCCCTCTGGATGATGCCAATTTTGTGTGGCCTACGTTTTCAGAGATTTCGCTGGTTCAGTCCCGATACGAACCCCCACAAGGCGTCGAGCGTACTGAGGCTGGTGTTCTTGCGCTCAATAATCGGGTCTGGATTCCTGTAGAGGCGAAGGACCTCATCACGCGGTTGTTCATCATTGCACATTGTGGCGCACAAGGCCACCGCGGAATTGCCGCCATGGTGGAACATATTCGACGTTTGTTTGCGCTGGAGAACCTGCGCCCCCTAGCGTCCACTTTCGTCCGCCAGTGTCGTCTGTGCCTGCATTCAAAAGGGGGGAATATCATCCCCAGACCTTGGGGTGAAACGTTTGAAAGCAGTGAACGCAATGGTTTGCTACATTTTGATTTCCTTTCGATGGGTGATGGTTTTGGAGACTCCAAGTACATCTTGGTGCTTAAAGATCATGCCTCCCATTTCTGTGAGCTGGTCACGGCAGACACAGCCGACAGTGCAGTGACAGTTGAAGCGTTCCTTGATTGGCATTCTCGGTTTGGACTGCCACCGAAATGGATTTCAGATCAAGGCTCCCATTTCAAAAACGAAGTGGTGAGTGAGCTTTCACGCCGCCTGCGAGCGCAGCAGGAGTTCACGCCTGTCTATTGCCCGTGACGGGTCGGTAGAGCGCGTAAACAGAGACATCCTCCAAGTGATCCGAACAATGATCCTGGAGTACAAGATTGCTCACCGCGACTGGGTCTACTTGATACCAATGGTACGATCGAGCCTCAACCACACAGCAGTGCCATCGTTGGGTAATAGAGCCCCGTTGAGTTATTTACTGGATTACCGTGTCCGACACCTCTCCGAGAATTTTACCTGCCTAGTACTGGGGAGTTCAAGGAGGTGCCCACAAGTGACAAGATCAATGGTTTTCTCGATGACCTGCGCAACAACATACAAGCCATGCATAAGGTGGTTGAGGATCAACGCATGAAGCAAAGGATGCTGAACAAGAAACGAGAACGTGGTGAGAATATTGTGAATTTTACGGAAGGCGACTATGTTCTACGCTCGAGGGTGGACGAGAAGAGGAGTAATAAGTTGCTTGTGACGTGGGTGGGACCATATCGCGTTGAACGTGCTGACGCACATTCATTCTCAATCAAACACCTCATCACCGGGGCTGTGTTGGATGTCCATGCCTGAAGACTGAAGTTCTATGCAGACTCCAGTCTGGACGTCACCGAGGAGCTCCTGGAACACATCTCGTCGCAGGGAATCGTCTTGGCGATCGAGAAGTTCAAGAGCCACAGGTGGAACACTGCAATTAGTGATTTTGAAATCTTGGTTCAATGGAAAGGACTCGAGGCCATTGAGGACTCCTATGAACCACTGGCCAGTTTGGCTAGGGACGTTCCCATCCTAGTGAACCAGTACGTGGCTGCTGCTGATCAAGAGCTCAAGGCACACTGGCAGCGCGCGACCACGGCTGGAGAAACAGCTCAACAAGGACGGACAGTAGCGACAGAGACGGTAAGGCCGACGGACAAGAGTCGCCGGAGGTCCAGGCGTCGACGACCGCTGCGTTTAACAACAAATGTTCAGATACCCGATAGAAGTCTCCCCGCTGCAGTTGTGCCACAGATGACAGGGGTTGAACTTGGATCGGACAACAACCAACCGACTACAAACACTGGTGAAAGTGTGAGTAGACGTACTCGCTCACGAACTGCTGGAGTCAACAGACAGGTGACCCTCACCAGCACGAGAGAGTAAACATCCAAGGCTGAAGCGAAGAGCTGCTCCATGATCGACCAGGGCCAGACATAGATCTGACTGCCAAGGCTATAATAGGGGTAGTCGAAGTACGGCCGCGAAATCAAGCTTTGGGGGCTGTGTGGTGAATCAAAGGTATCAAGCCGGATTCCACTGCCATCAAGCTGCCGACTAGACAGTGAGCAACCTGGTGCATCCAGGTTTATCACAGACGGAGAGGTGCCTGACTCTGGCGCGTCCAAGTTAGTATCCTCTACCTGGCTAAATATTCATGGATCTTGTAGGACAGACCGCCAGTGATCCAAGTGGAATCTCTGGCTGTCTTGCATGTTACCTTTGATGCTGTCACCAGCATCAGAGCTGTACAGTTCATTGAAGACGGAGGGTTGGTGACGACTAACTTATCCTCTCACTCTACAATCTGCTAGCAATAGCCTACATCAATACACTAGGCTACAAGTTTCCCGCAGGCTTGCCACCTGCCCTGCTTGGTGTTTGGTGTTACTTCAACTTCCGGAAAACACCACACCCACTGGCGCTATGTTCTGAAGACTTCCAACATCACTTGCGCGTCACTAAAGTGAGGATTGAAGCTAGCTGTTGAGCCGCTGAGTTGAAGCGGCGCGTTGACCATGGTAACGCTGTCCTCGTTCCTTTGCTTCCTCTGATTGCATCTAATGTGTATTTCCCTTGCATGTAGGGTCCCAAGAAGAAAGCCAAGGCTCCCAAGAAGACCAAGGAGGAGCTCGAGGAGGAGCGACGTCTGCAAGAGGAGCAGGAGGCGCGTCTGAGAGCTGAGGAGGAGAAACGCATCGAAGAAGCTCGACTCAAAAGCGAGATAGAGGCGGCTCGTCGACGTGAGGAGGACGCAAAAAAGCGCGCTGCCGAGCTGGCGCGTCTGGCCCTCGAGCACGAAGAAGCCCGTCATGATATGGAGGCCAGGGCGGTGCGTCTCGCTGAGCTGCTACGCGCGCAGAAGGAAGCGAAGGACTGGGACAACTACTTGGCCTGTCAACCACGACCTGACGCACAGGCTGAGGGTGACATGAACTCCTTCCTGAACTCGTGGCAGCTTGATACCGCCACGGTAGAGCTGGACTTGCCAGCCGTCACTGCAGCTTGCGAGAGCGCAACGGAGGTTATGGAGGATCTGACGTTTGTAGCTTCCAACGCAAGTGCTACTAACGACGACCCGCTGCGAGCGCAGTGCACACGCTTCATCTCTCGACTCCAAGAGCTTGTTGTTAAAAAAGTGGACCTCACCACTGCGCATGTGCTCCAGTACGCTGACGAGTACGCAGACTTGTCGTCTACAATGTCGAACAACGCTAATCCGTCTCGTGGAGAGGTGAAACTAGCTAGTGCGTCTCCCAACACGGGCTGGGTGCAGCTTGGCCTGTGGGTTAACCTGCTTGCCAAGGGATCTTCGCGTAACAAGCGCGTAGAATTTCCAGAGCTGGGTGTATACGTCGATCTCCCGAAAGCTGTCATCACTCAATCCTTAGCGCTTCGTGTGACTCGTTGGCCGTTTGACGCGTTCTCGTCATTGTCACAAGGTGGTGGTAGTGATATAGCGCTGGGTGGAGTCTTCACACTGGAGTTGCTAGCTGTGCCGTCACCTCCGAAGCGTGCGCGTGGCTGGATCATGCGGGAGGTACCAGATGCACGTGAACAGCTTAAGCGACTGCATTATCCTTTGGATGGGATGGTCGTTTCTGCTGCTTTACCGATCAAAGCTAGTCTCACATTGCCCAAGGACGTGCTGTATGCTCCGACGACATGCATCCGTGCTGGAAGTGCTGAACTTCCTCGGATTGGCTGGTGGGATGCTACACGAATGCGTTGGGAAGAAGAAGGTGTGACCGACGTCGTCTACCGAGAAGAAATCAACTCCGTGAGCTTCAGTACATTGCGTTTGACTCACTTGGCATTACTTGTTCGACGTGATCGCAACTATCATAAACGGTCGTGGAGACTCTGTATGGACACCAGTCCACGACGAGCTGCTGCTGCAGATTCGTCTGGAGACAATGATCTTGGAGATATGCGTGCACGGTTAACACTGAACACGGCGATGTTTCCCCGAATTCAGTTTGAGATCACGCTACAAGGTGCCAGACTCGTAGAGCCAGCACTTCCACAGCTCGAAGCCTTGAGAAAGGAAGCAATGCCTCCCGAAGAATTATTGACGCGTCTTGCTCGTGCTGGAGTTGATTTATGTCCACCGCTTGAAATGAAGCACGACAATGACGAAGAAGGAAGCCATGACGCCAACGAGAAGCAAGCAACTCGACATGGTTTTGTGCCCAAACTCAAGATGCTGGAAGATCGAGTAGTTGACGAGATTGCAACTGTGGTCGCGGGTTTTGAGATCACCGATGGCCACGGGGATGCTCTAACGAATGGTACGACAGCCACACGCTGGCCAGGGGCGGTTGGCAGCTGCAAACAGATCGTGTTCTCAGTCAAAGAAATGGCGTGGCCATACATGATGGACGAGCATGAAGGCAATCAGCAGCAGGCTGGAGAAGACGAAGCCATCAATGTCGCTACGAGTGCTGCGAGTGTTCTGGTGCTAGCTGAGGTTGACGAAGAGGCTAGTGGCGGCTGTGTCAAGTTCAGATTGGACCGCAAGGGCGACATCGACGCAGAAACGACGACGAAGCAGCGTCAGGGTGACACTGAAGCAGTAGATGGAGACAAGGAAGACATTTACGACACACACGTGCATCTTCGACGAGCTCTGGACGAGATCTCGTCTCCGGATGCTCGCGATCGAATGGACAACTCACACGTCTTGTTTGAACTGACACTGCAGAAGATGCTGCGTCTTCTTCGTCTGCTCAGCTACTCGCAGCCATCTCAAGACAGAGGTGAGGACGAGGAAGAGACACTTACAACAAGTGCTGCAGAGTCTACTACAAAACCGAACGGCAAGGCTAAAGAAGACCCTCACGACGCTGTGACATCTGGTCATGCAGCTCAAGAAGGAGGCGAAGCTAGCGCAGTGCCGATTGAGACCAGCTGAACTCGCAAGGTTTATTTCTTATAGGTATACTGATATTTACGATCGCGGTGAGACCTGTTAGGCTGTGAATGGGTCGCAATTTAGGCGAAGAGCGACGGGATTCCGAGGTGTGCGACGAACTCGGTGTATCCTCCAATGTACTTGCCGTCCAAGAAGATCTGGGGCACAGTTGTGACGGATTGGCCGACGATCTGCTTTAGTGACTGGATGGACACTTCGGTGGGGACGCTCACCTCGTCAAATTCCCACTCACGTTCGCGCATGACGTCCTTGGCAGCCAGGCAATATTTGCACGTTGGCTTGGTGAATATTGTGATGCCCTTTGCTTGCTTTGTGAGCTTCAGTAGCTCCAGGTCACGCTCAGAGAGTGCCAATGGGTCGTCGAACTTCAAGTCCTCGAGCTTCATACCGTGCATGTCCAAGTGCAATCCGCACTCCTGTTGCTTGCCGTTGAATCTTCCAGCGCGGTCGTTGCCCTTATCTGCCTCAGTCACAGGGCGACTGGAGTGTGCGTCACCAACACTCTCGTATCCTTGCGCCTTTAGTGGGTGATACTCTAATTGGTTTGCAGTCATGTATTGCTCAATCTCCTGCTTACTCCAATTGAGGATGGGGCAGATCTTAAGGCGACCTTCGTACACATTGACGTGCTTCATGTGCTGACGGTGCTGCGTCTGGTCGGCGCGCACACCTACGAGCAGCGCTGCAGCATTCAGTTCATCAAGTGCGCGCTGCATGGGCTCCACCTTGCGCATATACCCGTACTGGCGATGCGCTTCCGGCGTTTCAATCTCGTAGAGCTTGCCGTAGAGAGCTTCCATGCGCGCGGGCGTAATAGGCGACTGGTACACGCGCACATTCAAATCCAGCAATTTTGTCAGGTGTGCCGCGAACTGATACGTCTCCTTGGGCAGGTATCCTGTGTCGACCCATACAACGGGGATATCCTTACTCACACTACGCGTCAGATGCAACATGACGGCCGACTGGATGCCAAAGCTCGAGCTGAGCACCGTGCGCGCACCAAAGGTATCAAATGTCCATTGCACGATCTCCTGTGCCGTCTTTTCTTCCAGCTGCGTATTGAGAGCGTCGACATACGCCTCTAGCGAGGTGAATTGGGACTCGTCGAACACAAGTGCAGTCATCGTATCAAAGCTATTAGCGAAATGAAAGCAATACGAACACGATGTGCGGGTAGGGTTAATATAGCTGGTCAAAACACGAGTTATTATTGGTGAATAGTCAAGCCAATTAAAAACCACAAGAGTGACCCGTCAGTTTCTACTTTATTGTTTTTCATTGGATAAACTAAAGTCACTATAATACTATTTTACAATGAATGCTCAGTGTTCTGGAAAACCCGGGTTTTCTAAAGACATTGGGTGGGTCGAAGAGGTTGCTGGGGTGAATGGATAATGGGTTTTTGCAGCCCTATTCACTTATAAAAACAGTGTCTAGTCAATATTAGGAAATTGTGTTTAATACACAGGAAGAGCAATTCAATTCGCAATTCAATAGCGCGACAGCAGACCTCCTCCAGTCATCCTCTACGAGTTGCTTTCTTAAAATGGATGTCCACCGCAGCATTTTTGCAGCGACATCGGTGGCAGGACTTTTCTCACTTTTTCTTTTGCACCACGAGAAACACCTCGCCATGACTACTTCCGCCCCTATCACGGAGACGTCCTTCCATCCTACTGGATCAGGATCAGCTAATCGGATGCCATCCGTCTCGTCTGCCGAAGAATCCCAGCAAGCCGTCACTTCCCGTGCATCGCGTGTAATCAATTAACGCCCCCACCACGGAGGACGCCAGAAAGATGAAGCTTGGCGACTGGTCGAAGTTGACCAAGACAACACCGTGTGGTGTCTACGTTGCGGACAGCTTATTCACACGCAAGGACACAACCACATCGCTCGTGTGAGACGTCACGTTTATGAGAAGTGCTCGAAACTGCCAACCTAGTCTAAGATTACTGAGATGTTCAAGCCATCGCTGCAGCCAAGTGCATTGAAGGAGTTCCAGGAGAGCTTTGCGCAGTGGGTCTTTACGACAGGCATGTCGTTCTACAAGGTAGAGCACGAGTCGCTCTTGAAGGCCTTAAAACTGCTCAATCCGAGCGTCCAGTTACCGAGTGGGTTTTAGCTGTCGACGTCGTTTTTGGACCGAGCCTATGATAAGTCAATTGCAGTGATGTTGATGGGGTTGTCGTCACAATTTTGACCGATGCGTGGACCGATATAAATGGTCTATCGGTGATCAACTATGTTGCTGTAGCCGGCAATAAGACATTTTTCCTGGAGTCAGTGTATACAGGATGCGAGTCTCACGACACACAGTTCCTTGCAATGGGTATCAAGCGCGTAGTTGGCAAGTACAAATTTCTTGAGGTCGGTGCTGTCGTTACTGATAACACTTCCACAACTGGGAGAAACTGCAGCCCGACTTCCTTCAAGTGTTTTTTCATGGGTGTGCTTGTCACGCTTTGCACCTGCTCGTGAAGGACACGGTGGCACACTTAAAGTGGCTCGATGAGTTGCAATCTACATGCAAGGTGATAGTGAACTTTTTTAAGACGAATCACAAACTATGGTTTCAACTGCGCAGAAAGCTGAAGTCGATGGGGCTTCGAGTTCTGGCGTTGCCTGGTGATACAAGATGGGGGTCGGTGTTGGCGTGCTTGGACTCCGTTCTAAAGGCCGAAGAAGTATTATTTGCGACAGTTTCCACTCGTAACTTCTTAGTGGCTAAATCGAAGAAAAAACGCAAAACGCGCCGCCTCGTATTCAACGCCATCACATCTACTGATTTCGTCCCCAAATTGAAGCGCGCTACAGCACTGCTCAAGATCGTTGGGGAGCCGCTTAAGCGGTTCGAAAAAAAAAGCACACCGGTTTCTGAAGTCTACCAACTGTTCCTGGACTTACTTGACTCCGTGGCAAAGTGCGGACTTCCTGCAAAAGACGTGAAGAGTATGCATGCGCTGATCAACAAGCGGTTCGACTTTGTTTACGGCGACGCACACGGAGTTCCACACATACTGGACCCTCGATTTTGTGGCGCGCAAATGGATCCGGACACGCGGTCCAATGTGGAAAAATTTATCACGGAGTGGCACGGTGATAATGGAGAAGTAGGTGAAGCCACAGCTGACGCCGTTGTTATCGAGCTTGTGCGGTTCCATCGCTTTGCTGCGGAGCTGAAGGGGGAGACCCAACGAACGTGGACCTTGCTGAAAAACGGCAAGCTTGCCGTGTATGACTTTTTGGTGCTCCCTAAACCAGTTTCCTATTCTTCAAGACATTGCCAAACGAGTGTTTCGCTGTACGGCTGGGAGTTCGGCGGCTGAGAGAAACTTCTCCGCTCATGGATTTGTCCATTCAAAGCTACGCAACCGTCTCGCTCCAGAACGAGTTGAAAAACTCGTTCACATCTACTTCAACGCTCGCAACATTCGCGATGAAGATATTGAAGTGTACACGGAGCTGGATGACATTCTGCGCCTGATTGACGAAGACGAAGAAGACGAAAGGAACAACCAAAATGAAGACTTTGTCTACGAGACGTTATTGCTAGTAATAACAAAAAAAATCCAATTTTTACCGGGGTTACGAGCTGAGTTTTCCTACTTCACATACATACAAGATAATGCTCCCCGCACTCCGCATTCACAGGGTGGATGGGTTATTGAATAATCCACCCATTACCCACATTTTGCGCCTAAGGGGTGTAACCCTGGGGTAACCCAACCCCATTGGGAACCCTGTGAATGCTGCAATGGAGACTAGCACGTCTGCGGCGAGCGTCTTCAACCTCTACCAGGAAGGACTAGCACCCGTCCAAGTATTGCAGCTGTGCTTCTTGCGCAGGCGTGCACCGCGGCGGCTACGTCTCGAGCGCACGCGCATCGAAGACGATTTTTTGCTGCCACGACCGAAGCTACAGATTGCGAGTCTGCTGCCACCCGCTGGTGTTCCACTAGAGCAGCTCATGGCAAACTTTTTGCCTGGAGTACATGTGCAAACCTACTGTAGTGCAGATGCAGCAGCCCCGACTGACATTTCCATAGAAGCAGCGCGTGATAGCGCGAAGTGGCACTTCCTGCAACCTCGACAAGCTGCAGCTGAAGCTGTCTGTCGATGGTCCACATTGGCCGAGAGCGATTGGCGCTATATTCATAGAAGTCTGCAGCAGCACACGAAGCAACAGCACGACCAAGACGCTGAGACGGTAGGGCTAGCTGCAATGGCTGAGGTGCCAGAAATCACCGACATCTGTTGGACACTGGAACAGTGCTCCAGTGACGCGTTCGTTCGCTTCATATGGGATCATCTACTACTATCGCTTCTCCAGCAGTGCCTGAACTCTGACACACTAACCTACCACCGCCTGTTCTCTCTCTTGGTTACCAACCGCTCGTTGGCCTCTCTCAGCCCCAAGGATTTTCGTGTCAAGGTGCGGGCTCGAAACCTGCGGCAGGTTGACGACACCCTCGGAGCCCAGGCAGAACTCGTCCTCATAGCAATGTACCGAAGACAGCGCGACGCTACAAAGTAACAAAGTGACAGGTTTCCCTGACCATCACTCTTGACCCAACAAGTTGAAGTTTGCTCATCCGCCTTCTGATCTCTGTCCCATTCCGCATTTTGCCGCATCCAAGTCAAAGTGCGCATCCAGTAGAAGATACAGTGGAAATATCCCCATGGAGAGATTCGGTGGCGGCTTTAAGAAAGGGGCCAGAGGGCTCACGACTTTTGACAAGGGCAATGGCGGCCCCGCCCAAGGGAAATTGAAGCTACGCACGTCAAAAGATCCGTTGCCGCTACTTAGGCAATCGAATCGGGACACGAAGCCCAAGGCCAAGTTCCTCTTGTCAGTTGGAGGAGGCGTACCTATAGAGAAAAGTGAGCGCTTGCAGTTTGTGGCTGCACATTCTGGATTTATGGTGCTTAATGCGTTCTTGTGCTCGTACAGAGAACGCAAAGCCGAGCATCTTCGCTGTCAACAGCGTCATGCGACCGCTAGCGGCGGATAATCCACCAACGAAGAAGAACACGGGATACAGCTGTATGAAGTTTCAGTCCAAGCTGACTGAAATGGGGAAAACGACGGCAGCAGTCTGTGCATTTACAGGCTCAAAGTCGTTGCTGGGCAAGTTTTCTGCCAATGCACCGACCAAGAAACTGAGCAAGGGGGCAATTGAAAGAAAAGCAACGGATAAGGAGTCACTATTCAAGCCACAAGCAAAAGCGGCCCTACCGTTTGCATCCCGCGCAGAAACCAAATCATCCGCAACAAGAAAGAGAAAAGCAGCTGAACTTGTTACCCAGGACAAGAAGACTGTGTTCCCGAGAAAAACTGGACGCGCCAATCTGAGCTTCACGTTGAAGAAGGCTGCATATGAGAAGGGCAAGGATATTGACAAACAATCTGGGGCGGGCGCTGAGAATACAAAACATGTTGGTACTATGCGTACGAAGATAAGCGACGGAATTGTTTCGAAGAAGAGAAGCTTGCTGGCTATATCAACGGCGGCGGCTTCAGCATCGAAAAAGAGCAAGATTCAAGACGGTACGTCCGAACAATGAGATCAAAGAAGGATTTAGGAGGTTAATAGAGGCGTTGTGCCTACATGTAGTTGGAATAGTACAGTGCCTCGCAGATCCCAACGACATGGCCGATGGAGTGACCAAAGCAGGGTAAGAGCATCGTTGTACACGAGGACGATGCGGTTGGTGTCTGATGCCTCGTTCTTCGGTATATTTTGAGCAGGGGTTCTTCAGGGGGGGCTAGCCATGAGAACGAGGACTCCGTCGTGTCTGCACCTCTCGTACCGCCAGCTTTCAAGCCAGCTCAAACATTTCCAGGTTTTGCTACTGATGACGAGTTGAGTGTTGTGGCCCCTTCTCCTGACTGCCGAGAAGATTGGTACGATCTCACTTAACACACTTATCACGCACGATCTAACGCAGTCTTTCACGTGTGCGACTCCGGCAGTCTTAGTGGTGTAGAGGAGGAACTCGAAATGAAACTCTTGTGCGCTCTGGTAGGTACAGTACCACACTCAATCGAGTCTTTCGCGTTTGTGTCAGTCTATTCTAAAGCGAATTCATACTTAGGATGGTGATAAAGAAGATGAGTTCCTTACAAGAGCGGCCGCTATTCAAGAATTTACCGACCGTGCGGAGCAAGAGCAAAAGGAACTTCGCAATCGTCTACTCGATGCCCATGGTAAGAAATTTGACGCTCGCTTAACGCACGACTCATCGCTTCTGTGCAATGGCAGCTGATGTCAGCGAGAGTCTGCTCGATGCCCTAACTGATCTCATGATGGAAGAGGGAGGCATCGGGATCGATAAGCTTGATTTTGACATGAACATCGACGTCGATGTCGGCGACGTTTTCCTGCAAGAAGACATCCAAGTTGTCCAGTGAAGAAGAATCGTCGACTCAAGCGCTCAATAGGAATGCATTCGTTTTAGTTTCACAAGCTCCTAATAGTACCGGCTTCTTCACAGTCCAGAAGTGCACCACTGCAACCGCAAGCATCACATCATTAGCCGTCATCGCAAAGCCACAATTCAGCATCATAACGTTTTCCGTACCTTCTTGAACTCGTCAAAGCTGAGCTTGTTGTCTCCATTCAGATCTGCTTCCTTAAAGCACTGGTCTGCAGTCACACGGGCGAGCTCTTCGGGAGACACACCGATCTTGGTCTTCGTGCTATCGGTCGTCTCGTACATGACCTTGAAGATCGACGTCATGTAGCTTATCATCTCTTCTTGCGTGATGTACCCGTCGCCATTGATGTCGTAGAGCTGAAACGCTGCACGAACTTTGTCGTCCATGCTCGAGCCAGACAACACAGAGAGGCCACTGGCCAGTTCGCCAAAGTCGACGGTGTTGCTGTCATCTGTGTCGAATGTACGAAAGAGTCTTCGAATCATCCCATCAGCCTCTTGCCGCTCTTCCGGTGACTCATGGCCACCTGCCAACCGAATGATCTGATCGAAACACTTCTTGAAAGCTGCAAACGTTAACTCGCCAGAGGGAGCAGCTTCAGCGAAGATCTCCAGCACATCGTTGACCTCATACGTGCCCAGTTTGAGCAGTTGTCGGACGTGCTCCATATTCGAGCTGTTCATATTCAACGCAGACGCTGAGTTTGGCGAGAGCAAAGCGTCACCGTTGGAGCCCGTTATTCCGTAGATCTTGTCGGACGGAAAACAAACGGGGGCGGTGCTAATGCCGCTCGGATGAGGGCCTTTTCCAACACCCCACACTGTTTTTCTTGGCGATTCTGGAGCTGGTGATCCACTGTAGCTGCCGACTTTACTAGTATCGCGTGAAAACGACCCGTCACTTTGGCTTTCGCTAGTGTTGCCATTTGGCGCTTGCGGCTGTCCAAGAATACTGTTTGCACCTGCAGTAGGTGCCTCAAACCCCGACGACCTAGAGTACCAAGCTACAAACTCGTCAAAGCTCAGCCTCCCGTCCTCGTTCAGGTCTGCTTCCAAGAAACATTGCTCGGCTGTAATTGTGGCTAGCTCCTCTGGCTGCACGCCAAGTGTTTGATCCGTTCCTGGACCGGTCTCGTACAAAACCTTAAAGACACTCGCCAGATAGCGCACCATCTCGTCCAGAGAAATGAACCCATCTTGATTGAGATCATACAGCGAGAAGGCTGCGCGAACTTTCTCCTCCCGAGAGCCACCGCAGAGCACCGATAACCCACTAGTCAGCTCACAGAAATCAACGGTGCCATCGAGATTCTCGTCAAAGATGACGAACAGCCTGTTCAGAATAAGCCGCAATCGTTCCAAACTCACTTCATCGTTCTTGTACTGCTCGTCCACAAGCTGCTCGAAACACTCCTCGAAGGCCTCACGGGACAGCGTACCATTCTCGGAGCAACGGTTGGCAAAGATTTCAAACACTTCGTCAGCTGAGTACTTCTCCAGGTTCGTCATCTGCTTCACCACGTCCAAGCTCACCCAATCGGGTTTATGTTGTAGAACTTTTCGCGGCTGCTGTTCTTGCTCCTGCTCGCCCAAAACAGCGGGCACAGGTAGATCGCCCACCCGTTTCGGCTGCATATACCACTGGCTGAACTCCTCGAAGGAAAGCTTCCCATCCCTGTCGTGGTCTGCTTCAGCAAAAGCCTGCTCTGCAGTAATCTCGCCCAGTTCCTCGGGAGTCACGCTCATTCGAGCCTCACTGTCAGGATTCACCTCAAAGAGAACCTTGAAGACTGACGTGAGGTAGAGGCGCATTTCGCCCAGCGAAATGAAGCCGTCATGGTTCACGTCATACAAGTTGAAGGCAGCGCGCACCTTATCAGCTTGGCTTCCCCCGCACAGCACCGACAATCCACTTGCCAGTTCGTTAAAGTCCACCAGCCCATTCCTGTCCTTGTCGAACAGCTCAAAGATGCGATCCACTAGTAGCTGCAGCCTTTCCCTCGACTCCTGCACTGCAGACTCGACTTTAAAGTGATCGAAAGCCTGTCGAAACGTTTCCTTGTCCATGGTGCCATCGGCGGCTGTGAACTTGGCGAACGTGTTCAGCACCTGTTGAGCCGAGAACGACTCCAAGTTTGTCAGACGTCGCACCTCACGCAGCGAGAGCCACTCTGGGATGTTATTCTGGATGAGTCGCTCCATGTTAGCGGCGTTGGATCGAGTGTACCACTTGCGGAACTCCGGGAAGCTCAATCGACCATCGTGGTCTAGATCGGCTTCAGCGAACGCTTGCTGAGCCGTACGCACGCCCAGCACCTCGGGGGACTCGCGCCCCAGTTGCTGCAGACCAGAAGGCGACGCCTCCTTGAGCACGCGGAAAACAGAAGTCAGATACCGCGTCATTTCTTCCATCGAGATAAACCCGTCAGCGTTGAAGTCATATAAGGCGAACGCAGCGCGAATCTTTTCCTCGGAAGAGCCACCACAGAAAACTGACAGACCACTCGAAATCTCGCTAAAGTCAACCAATCCGTTCTTGTCGACATCGAAAAGCTCGAATAGACGGTTGAGAACGGTGTTGATCCGTTGGTACTCCTCGGACTTGATACCTTGGTTCGTCGAGATGATCTTCCGGAAACATTTATCGAACGCCTCTCGCGACACGTATCCTTGCTCGTCGGCGCACTCCGCGAGAGCTTCAAAGACTTCCATGGGCGAGAATGATTGCAGATTCGTTAGTCGTCGGGCTTCCGCCAAGCTAAACAACTGCTCCCCGTTCTTCGCAACCTCACCGATGCCACCTGGTTGCTGATACCATTGCTGAAACTCTTCCAGTGTCAGTTGGCCATCATGGTCCTGATCAGCCTCAGCAAAGGCCTGTTGCGCGGTCACTTGTCCCAATTCTTCTGGAGTGACACCAAGGGATTGGGTGTCCGGAGACACTTGGAAGAGTACACGGAAGACAGACGTGAGGTATCGAGTCATCTCCTCTAGCGAGATAAACCCATCGCCATTGAAGTCGAATAACGAGAAAGCCGCCTTCACCTTTTGGTCTTTCGTACCACCACAAAGCACCGACAACCCGCTAGCAAGCTCTCCAAAGTCCACAGCGCCACTATTGTCTCTGTCGAACAAGTCAAAGAGACCGTCAATGACTTCTCGCAGCTTCTTCTGTGTTTCAGCATCCGACGTTCGTGCTCCCTGGGACTTCTGACCACCAATCACCTTGCGAAAGCTTTCATTGAAGGCGTCTCTCGACAGCAATCCGTCCTCATCCGCTTCGCCGGCAAAGATCTCAAACACTTCTTCCGGTTCATACTGAGCAAGGTTCGTGAGCTGCTTGATTTCGTTGAGCGGCATCCAGTGCAGGGACGAGTCAACAATCGCGTTCTTCGCGACAGCACTGCTAATTCCTGCCTGGGCCGGGGAGTTGTACCACGTCAAAAACTCGTCGTAACTTAACTTGCCGTCGTGGTTCGAATCCGCTTCCAGAAACGCCTGCTCCGCAGTAACGACACCCAGTTCTTCAGCTGAGACACCAGTCTCCTGCCTCATTTCGGGCTGCACCTCGTACAACACCTTGAAGATAGACGTCAGATATCGCTTCATCTCGTCAAGCGAAATGAACCCATCTTCGTTAAAATCGTACAGCCGGAACGCTGCTCTCACTTTGGCATCTCGTGCGCCCTTGCAGAGCACGGAGAGTCCGCTAGCCAGCTCACTGAAGTCGATCTGCCCGTTTCCATCACGGTCAAACACGTCGTACAAGCGGTCGGCCACCATTTTAGCGCGCAGCTTCTCGATCTGCGTGCGTGGGTGGGCCATCTCGATGATCTCAAAGAAGCACTTGTCAAACGACTCTCGGTTCAGCATCCCGTCCTCATCTGCATGCTCGGCAAAGCGTTCAAACACTTCGACCACGTCCAAGTTTCCCAGATTCGTCAATTGACGCACCTCGTTCAGATCCAAAGGGGCCACAATCTCGTTGAATGACGACTGCTCTGGCCTCGAGTACCACTTCTGGAACTCCTCAAACGTCAGCTTGCCATCGTGGTTGACGTCCGCGACTTCGAAAATCTCGTTGGCTGTTACTGCCGCCAGAGTTTTCGCCGAAATTCCAAGCTGTTGCTGTCGTGTGGGATCGAGTGCGTAGAGCAACTTAAACACCGACCCGAGGTAATGAGTCATCTCGTCCTCTGATATCACGCCGTCTCGATTGGTGTCGTACACTTTGAATGCTGCCAGAACCTTCTCATCTCGGGTAGAGGCGCCACACAGAATGGACAAGCCGCTGATTAGCTCGTTCAAGTCCACGATGCCCTTTTGCTCCGTGTCGAATGCGGTGAAGAGCCGGTCAATCACTTCATGCACGCGAGTGCTGTCATCTACCGACAAGTCCGGTGTGGCCTTGCTGCAAATGTGCTTGTAAAAGCACTCGTCAAAGATACGCCGCGAGATCCTTTTGCCTCCACCGGTTGCCGAGCCAAAGATGTCCGACACCTCATCCAGAGACATTGCCTCCAGACCAGACAGCTTCTTTGCGACGTCAAGCGAGATTATACTCTGCGTATTCGCCTCACTCGAGCCTGACGAGGACATGGCAGCAGGAGCACCAGCACGTGAGCCACTGGTACCGTTCGACATTGGGACTTGCTGACGTTGAGTGTGTGGGTTTTGCTGCTCAAACCAAACTCGGAACTCATCGAAACTCAGTTGTCCATCGCGGTTTTGGTCGAACACTCGAAAGCACTCCCTTGTCGTCGTCCTTGCGAGCTGCTCAGGCGTCATTCCCGTCTTCGCTGGCAGCTCTGGAGAAGCCTTGAACATCACCTTAAAGACACACGTCAGGTATGAAGTCATTTCTTCGGGAGAGATGTAGCCATCGTAGTTGACATCGTACAAAGTGAACATGGATTTCGCCTTGTCGGCTCGACTTCCGCCGCAGAGAATCGAGAGTCCAGCACCGAGCTCCTGCACGTCGACGACTCCATTCTTATCTGCATCAAACAGCTCGAAAAGCTCTTTTAAAAGCTGCTGGGTCCTCATCTGCGTCTCGCGACCAACTCGTCCGTCTTTCGCTAGTAGTTTGTTGAAGCAACGGAAGAAAACTGGCTGCGAGACGTTGCCCGCTCTATCCGCCGAAGCTCGGAAGAACTCAAAGATGTCGTTAACGTCGTACGCTCCAAGGTTCGTTAGCTCCTTCATTTCAGAGAGAGCTCCTCGTGACGACATCGACGACACTCGAGGGGACGACACCGCGCCATTCGAGGATGCTGGCGCGCCTTGCTCTTGTGGCTGCATCAGAGGTAGCTCAGGTGCACCTTGAGAGCTGTACCATTGGGTAAACTCCTCGAAACTCAAGCGGTCGTCCTGGTTTGTATCAGCCAGCGTAAACGCCTCAGCTGTTGTAACTCGAGCGAGTTCTTGCGGCGAAATCCCGTCAAGCTGCTGCATCGTGGCAGGAGAAGTCATGAAAACAATGCGGTATACTGAAGCCAGGTATGTTTCCATTTCATCGCGCGCGATGAAGCCATCTCGGTTGATGTCAAACAAGGTGAACGTCGCCTTGATCTTCTCTTCTTGAGACCCGCTGCAAAGAACTGAAATGCCGCTCGACAGCTCGCAGAAATCAACGAACCCATCGTGGTCAGTGTCAAAGCCGTCGAAAACGGTCTCCATGATCTTCTGCAATTGGTTCTTTTCCTCGACACTCAGTTTGCGCTTCGTAGTCGCGGCTTGCTCCTCAACGAGCTCATCAACAATCGAGAAGAAAGCTTCCCGAGACAAGACACCATCTTCGTTTACTTTCGCCGCAATGATCTCGAAAACGTCGCTCGGTGCTCGGTCTCGCAGACCTGTGAGTGATGCGACAAAGTTGGACGTTCCAAATGCCTGGTTGCCACTCGTACCAGGCTGGCGATAAAGACCAGTAGATGGACCCATCGTGGGCTGCTGGTAGTACCGTCCATACACCCAATACCACGAACGAAACTCTTCTAGCGACAGCTTTCCATCCCTGTCCACGTCCGCATCTTCAAAAGCTTGCATCGTTGTGTAGTGAGCAAGCGTTTTAGCGTCAACACCAATCGATTGCCTACTAGCTGGGGTGGTCTCATACATGACGTTAAAGACCGAGGCCAGATACGTCTCCATCTCCTGCTGTGTAATGTATCCATCGCTATCGGTGTCGAAAAGCGAAAAAGCGGCCATCACTTTGTCCTCCCTTGAGTCACCACACAGCACCGAAAGACCGCTGCTTAACTCCACAAAGTCGACAGAGTCGCTTTCATCCTCGTCGAACGCATCAAATAGACGATCCAAGAACGTCGCAATCTGGCGAGTAGGCTTCCGGTTTAGCCTCTCTAAAATGACATAGAAGCATCGTTTGAACTCGGCGCGGGTAAGCGCCTCCTTGTTGCCGCCAGTACTAGTCGCTGAAGCGCTGAAGATGGAGAATAGGTCAGACGCACTCAAGGCAGACAGACCCGTCACTTCGCGCAAAGTGGCCAGGTCCAGACCCTCCGAAGCCTGCCCACGACTTGTTTTCGCACTGCTTTTGCCACGCTTGGCGGCTACAAGTTGAGTCGGTCCTGGCTTCGAATACCATTCCCGGAATGCCTCGCACGACAGCTTTCCCTCCCGATTCAGTGTCGACTCTGCAAAACACTGACTCGCCGTCACAACGCCCAACTCTGCTGGATTTATGCTAGAAATAATAGAGAAAAACCGGTTAGTCACCAGTACCAATCAGAATAATTAAAAACGAAAAAGAGGTGGCAACGTACTTGTGCTGCTGGAAAAGCTCCGGCGTCGACTCTCCGATAACCAAGAACACGGCCGTCAGGTATTTCGTCATCTCTTCCTTCGAGATGAGCCCATCGCTGTCCACGTCATAGAGTTCAAACGTCAACTGGATCTTCTCGTCGCGCTCTCCACACGCAAAGACTGAGACGCCTCCAAGAAAGTCAGCCACATCCACGATATCCTTGCGCAAACTCTGCTCCTCAAAGATGCTGAACAGCCTGGCGAACATCTTCCGCGCCTGTGGATCGTAGCGTCCAGACTGCGACAGAATCTTCTCCAGGCATCGGTTGAACGTGATACGGTCCAATGCGCCAGTGGGACAGGCCTGTGTGAACACATCGACGAGCTGCGGCAGCTCAAAGTCCGATAGATCGAGATCCAGTTCGTCCTCCGTGGACGCAGCCTCCAAATCCTTCTCCTCTTCGTCCCCAGAGTCGTCGACGTCCTCGTCCTCTTCGTTCGCGTCGGAGTTCGTCGTTACTGCCTGATACTCGCGTCGGTCGGGCGTCTCGCGGGCCCTGGCGCCGCGTTTGCGGCTATGGGTGCGATGTCTGTGTCTGTTGCTCTTCCTAATGGCCTCATGGGTCTCCACGGGCTCGCCGTCCAGCACGAGGTAAAGCGAAGCGTTCTCAAACATTTCAGGTGAACGACACAGCAGCGACAGCGGATAGAATACGTGGCTGGAGGCGTGCCGCACCGCCACTGGCGTTTTGTTGACGTCTGGGAAGCCCGCTGCGACGCATTGCAGCAGCTCGGGAAGCGGTAGACCGGGACACAGCAGCAGCTCGCGCGCCTCATCGCCTAACAGCAGCGTGACAGCGCTCACGCGCACTGCGTCCTGCGTCATCTTGTGCTTCTTGTAGTTGCGCTGATTATCTATGACCGTCCGTCCTTCTCGAATTCTGCACTCGCTCACTTCACTTTGGGACTGGGGAGATCCAAAAAAAGGAGTGCACGTCTCGACGCGATTCGATTAAATCCGATGCAATAAATGAAGAGCTTACCGGTTTTATTATGTTAGTAGCAACATCATAAAAACTCATCGCTCAGAAACTTGAGACGAGCCATTTGTACCCAACCAATGCCCAAATAGGCTTGCAGGCTGCAACTTGCAGCACCCGTCAGGCCACCATCCAGCGCCCAGATGGGCACCAGTGACGCCCAACTCGAAAAGCCAGTATCTCAATAGATCTCAAACCCAGTTGGTAGGCTCTTACCGCTATAACAGCCACAGTCAAATATGTGCTGTACTATCGTGATATAAAATGAAGAAATGCGAGGGCAAATTCAATTCAAACGATATGAGGAATTTCCGATGTTAGTCTGCTTTTGACAATTGAGCACCATACAACTTAATACAGAGCCAAAACACGAATACAGTTAATGCATTTGCAATACTGACCCTCATTTCCTACAAGTGCAGCTTTGATGGCTCTCAGTGACCAAACAGTGTCTCATCACTATCGTTGGAGCTGCTCTCACTTTGATGGCGCATTGATAATGGCTCTTCCAGCTCGTGGCGAACACGGAACATGCTCCGAAGGCGCTGGTCTCGACGACTACGGTGGCGCTGTTGAGAAGTCTTGCGCTTAGAGGCCATCTCTTTAGTAAGCGACCAAGATAGTCGCGGTAAGAGTCGCAATCCCCATCCCGAAGCGGATTTCAGTGCACATGGAAGTTTGTGAGAGCGACGCACGTCCTAAACAAGGTGTCGTAGCTGAATTCAGCCCGGCGATACTTGTCAGAGCACACAGAACAGAGTGTGGTTAGACGGACAAAAAAATTTCTTACAAGAACGCGATCGTGTGCTATTTTGTCGTTCTCTTCGAGCTGCTCGATCAAAAGCGTCTCACCTGGCTGTTTCTTGTGCGGAGTGATGGCACGGAAATGCGATGACAATTCCTGGTATCCCTTGTCGGTGAGTAGCGCCCACTCATTGGGGTACTTAGTCACCAGAGGTCCCGCGTCGTGTAGACGCTTCTCCACTTCGGACTTCTTTGTGTTCTGGGAGTGGAAACACTGATTTTTTGCGGAATAGCTCGATATCCGACACATGCCCCGGGTAATGCTTGGTGCAGTTGATTGCTTTGCCCGTCGGCAACACGGAAACTTCTACTTTGTAGCCATGCAGCTTGTGTTTTCCGCTGTAATAGATGCTGCGACCTTCACAGAGGCCGTACGGGATATTGAAGGTCACGTCCGTCGCTTACCGCGCGCAAGGGAAGATTAAAAACGTGTTACCAGCGACAACTAGCTCGCACATGCAGCATTTTGCATTGACGTCGTCGACGAATGGCTCGTACAAGAACGATGAGATCATCTCGGTGTACTTCATTATCATTTTTTGGAATGTGAGCGGATTAATTTGAAACACGCTGGCGACAACATCCCACTTGCCACAGTATTTTAGCGCCGTTAACATCATGAACAAAGTGTCTTCCCCGCCGTACTTGCACTTCTTGCCGCGACCAACATTCCAATAAAGCACCACGAAATCCCCCACCACCCGCCAGAGCCTGTTGACCTCTTCTTCAGATAAGTTTGTCGCCTGCATGATAGCCTCTCCGCCGACCAGCACGAACCGATCCAACACGGGCGACATTGAGTCTCCCGGGTCGTTGCCATCGTTGGCTGCATCACGAGCAGCGCGTGCACACCGTACACGTTTAGATTGGCGGGCTTCGTCGAGTTGGGTCAGCCATGCTCGACTACTTCTTCCGTCAGCTCTTGGGTACACTTTGGAGCTCGAACTCTGGGCATCTTGAGAGATGGTAGATTGATAAATGAGCTTCCGAAAAGGACATGTACAGGAAAGTTGCGTGCATTAGATGAATGGTTCACAACCTGGATCTGTACGGAGCTTAAGCGCGCTTGACAGCGCTGTAAATGGAGTGGATGTAGGCGATAACGCCAAAATGACAGCTATTTGGCGCCAAATGAGCGGCAGAAGAGTTCGGTTTTGCAGATGGAGCATAACGTAATGAGAAGCTACAAATGTACTCAGTGCTTTCCAAATTCTGAAGTTTTTTCTCCGATATATCATCTTTCTACTATGTAGATCAATCCGACGATACGGGCTAACTTGCATCGCCTTGGCTAGCTCTCTGGTGATTTGCTGCCTCATTGATGAATAGTTAAAGGAGGTCAGTCTTTGACAATTGTAGTGCGTCTTTCTCTAAAATACTTAGATTCTGTTTGTGCACCGACCAACTCGGTTTAAGGTCTAATGTATACGTATAGGCTTTACAAAAGCCGGGTTCAGACATAGAGTCGGATCGAGGTACGCTGGAGAGCTATTAATATTAATGAAATCTTGGAGCTCGGCTTCCAGGGCAAAAATACAAGCACGCGCAACATCCTTCGATGTCTGCAATTCTGTCCTAAGAACGCTAAGTGTATTGTAGTATCACCACCAATGCAAAAGGTAGAAATGAATGCTGGCTTGTTTTATAACTCTCCTCATAAGCTAGCCCGATTGTCAAGCTGACATGCACATGCGTAGGTAGCGATATCTCATCACTGTAAAGTCTTTTTGTCCAGGTGACCTAGTGGATTGGCTTCGCAAAACATCTCGAATGCCAACAGTACATAGATACCACAGTTTTAACAGTGTCTGGACTCCCAGACCGGACTCAAAGTTTTCTGACTCGAAACGATTTGTTGACGCTACTTTGCAGCAGGTTGATCATCGTCTGTGGTACTACACGCACACCAAGCAGATATGAAGATGCACTAGAATCATAGATGTAGGCCTCTCCGGTACTCAAGTTGAGTCTAATAGAGCACCAGTGATTCCCATTGCAATTCACAGAAATGAAAATATTCTCGTTTGTCAGACCAGCAAATTCAGCGCGAGTAAGCTAAGTAGACGCACTGACATGTCCGTTAATATTGTCACTAGCTTTCCAGTGCTAAGTACGGCAACGTTGGAGTCCTCGACAAACTCTGCCTCTAGTGTTTTCTCCATGACTTTATCCCTAATCAATTCCTTGCCTACCAGATCCCAAACACTTGCCTACAAGCATTATAGAGAATAAGTAAGACAGTCCCTATACAGTGTATATACGTGTAAGGCTTACCTGGCTGAATAGCAGCTGAATTCCTTTGAGCTTTCTGGTAGCTGTGCTTCCTTCTCGACAATAGAAGCGTTATTTTCGTGCCGCGATAAATCCAGGTGATGCATCCAAGTTCAACGCCTTTTGTATCTATTTTGCAAATCTGCTGGTGCGATGCCACATTTGCATGGTAGTAATAGTTGCGTGTAATGCCGCTGTAGTTAGCGTTTAAGCTTTACCGGTATCGTTAAAAGGCTTCGCAAAGAAACCGTTATCAGCGCCTTTACCTTTCGCTGACCAGATTTGTCGATTTAACACTTACGACCGCGCAAAAGATTCGACATTTGAGTACTAGAGCAGCCATGGATTCATTGCTGCCGCCGATTTCGACGACGTGGTCTCAGGGAATGTCTTCCGGGGCCGATGGCCATCCCAAAGAGGTACTCTGAGCTCAGGATGATCATAGAGCTCTGGGCTCAGTAGTGCACACATTTGCGTTGCGCGGTCAAGTCATGGCGAATCTACAGCTGCTGTATCTCGACTCAAAGCTGCCGTTTTTGAGATGGCAAAAGAGATGAATACAAACAAATCCAGTGACAACGAGGCTGCGCAGGTAGAAAACTATTTAATACCCCAATCCGGTACAACGAGGCAAAATGTAGCTTGGCTGACAGACGTATTTAACGGTGGGATGGACGAGTATGAGGAGGAACCGATCAGTATTGCCGATGATATGCTGAAAGACGAGTGCGAGTCTCAAGTCCGGCAATATTTAAGAGATGCACATGGAACTCCCGTAACTACTGATGCATTGGACTGGTGGACAAAACGACGAGCTAAATACCCGTTCGTGGGGTAGAAAGTGGCTCGGGTGCATAGCAACTTTTGTGCCGTCCGAACGTGCATTTTCAAAAAACGCAAATGTAGTCACCACGAGACGCTGCTAATTAGACCCCGATATTATTCGTGATACTTTGTTTGTCAGCGAAAACTACGAATAGAACGATGACAACGCTCCCAGTGAGCAAAGTGATAACAGTGACGAGGAAAGCAGGTAACATTCCGGTATATTGTTACATGAACGAAAGTCGAAGTAAATTTTACGCAGTAGCATTAATTTTATTTCGAAGAACTACTTTTTCTAATGATTTGTATTTACTGATTACATGTGCTCAATAAACTTCAGAAGCATTACTATAGCTGCAATCGCAGAGACATCGCAGTCGAATCGCTGGTTTACCAGCCGAATAAATAATTTTTTTTCTACCCCACCTTCTACATACTCTTGTTTGATGTGCCTACGCCAAAATCACTCATGAACACGTGCTTGACCACCGATACCTTGGAATCCCAAATCCTAGCTAATAATATCGTGGGTACTACCGGATGACCATCAGTAAAGGCCAACAAAGTAAACTTGGCTGTTAGAAAATGCATCATTACCGTCAGCGTTCTCACCTGGCCCCGCCTCACTCATATAAACTGTCAGGTAAAACTCACCATTGGTTGGGTCGGAAGTGATCGAGCTGGAGGAAGAGCTGCTGGGTGCTGTTGAGCTTGTTAGTCTGTCCAGCAGAAAAAGATTACGAAGATACCTTACACTGATCTCTGATGGTGCTTGTTGCGTCAGGGCCAGAGATTGAGGTGCTCGCTAGCTAGGTTGCTGGACTTACGTGCACCAGAACGCCGACGCTGACGCCGATTTTGGCCAGAATGCTGTCCACGGCGGTGATCGCAGCCTTCTTACTGACCATTTCGAAGCATTTGTACCTGTCTGGGCTGAAGTCGATGG